GAAGCGCCACCTAACTGCCCTGCACAGTGGGGGAGACAGCATGGGGCCCGATCAAGAGTGGGCATCCTCCCACCTGCATTCAAAGAGCAGCCCTGCCGCTCAGCAGTTGCGCCACCCAGGGCACCCAGCTTCATGCTGTCGTCTCTCCGTATCCCTAAGACCTCCCTCATGTAATCTGACCGCCCTCACGGAGGTGCTGGAAGGACGAAACCTGTTACCGTGTGTTGCAAAGCACCTGCAGCAGGGCCTAGCATCGAGGAAACCTTCAACACAGGTTTACTCTAACTTGGAATTGAGACACAGGCACAAATAAAGAACTGGGGGAGGACAGGGGAAAAACAATCTTGTGGCCAGAGTGGACCACAAGTGAAAGATGGTAGCAGTGCCAAATCCAGACTTTAAAAAGTTACAGAAGGAGCTGGATGTGATGCTGGGACCAGCAGGAGGCAGCACCAAGCACAGGTGTGGCAGTCCCAGGGCCTGACTCTGTCACTGACTTGTGTGACCTTGGCTAAGCTGCTTTGTCTGTTTAGGTCTTAGTTTTGGAAAGTGTGGGCGCTCTCCCGTCTAAAGGGCTGGGAGGGCCCCAGGGTCTGGAGAGCAATCCTGAGCTGGGCTTAGAGGGAGCTGGGAGGTGAATGCACAGCAAGGACCGGTGCGGTTGCCACGGTGGCGTGTGACTCTGTGGTGCCCTTCCACGAAGCAGCGGAGAGGGGGGCCTTTCTTGTGTAGAATGGGACAAAAAGGCAAAGATGTAATTGCAGTGGGAGGGGTGTGGGTGAGACTTCACACGTAACTTCCCAATCTGAAGGCCTGGGAAAGCCTCAGAACATCTAGGTTTCTGTATTCTTAAGAAGGGGGCAAGCGACCCCTTGGTGCACCTTTGCTCAGGGAAGTGGTTTCTTCCTCGTCTTTTCTTTTTGGATGAAGTCTCACTCAGTTGCCCAGGAATGCAGTGGTGTGATCTTGGCTTACTGCAACCTTTACCTTCTGGGTTCAAGCAATTCTTGTGCCTCAGCCTCCCCAGTAGCTGGGACTACAGGCACACACCACCATGCCTAGTTAATGTTTGTAATTTTAGTAGAGATGGGGTTTCACCATTGGCCAGGCTGGTCTTGAACTTCTGATCTCAGGTGCTCCAGCTGCCTCGGCCTCCCAAAGTGCAGGGATTGGAGGTGTGGGCCATGGGCCCAGCCCTCTTATTCATCTTTTTGATGGATGGCACTGAATGTGTGGTTGCTGAATGAATGAATGAATGTGGGCATGTGTGAATGAACAGCAGAGGCTGGGTCTCGTATACTGTGACTGGCTGTGGTCATCAGATACAAGGATACAGAAGCTGAGACCCAGCCAGGCCAGCAACTTAAGCACTGCAACTCCCCAACTCAGAGCCTCAGTTTCCTCATCTGTGAGACGCCGACAAAGCCACCTGGACTTAGGTCACAGGATCCTTGAAGGGATAAAATGTGAAGGACGATCTGCTGGGTGTGGTGGCTCCCACCTGTAATCCCAGCACTTTGGGAGGCCGAGGCAGGCAGATCACGAGGTCAGGAGACTGAGACTGTCCTGGCCAACATGGTGACACCCCATCTCTACTAAAAAAACAAAAAATGAGCCGGGCGTTGTGGCGTGCGCCTGTAATCCCAACTACTCAGGAGGTTGTGGCAGGGGAGTCGCTTGAACCTGGAAGGTGGAGATTGCAGTGAGCCAGCTGGTGACAGAACAAGACTTCATCTCAAAAAAAAAAAAAAGTGATGGACGATCTGAAGGTATTTTGAGGACTCCCTCCTGCATAACTGGGGGAGGTGCTCCTGGAAGGTGCTCCCCAAGGAAGATAGGAAGACGGTGGAAGGAAATACTTCTCTGAGGCCACATGGGACAAAGTGAAGGACGAAGGTTCCCTTCACAGCAGGAGTGTCTTGGAAGCCCTGTCCCAGGCACCAGGAGCGGTGAGAGGGCAGCCTATATCTGCTGCATACCTGCCTCTATGAACTCCTTCCTCAAACTCCAAGGAAAGGACAGAGTGGGGGAGGGAATCCTACAGCCACACCTTTAACGCTGTACTGGGACTCCAGGCATTGGGTTATTCAGCTTTTCTCTGGAGCTGGTGCTCCCGGAACTGAATTCATATCCATACGAAATGTCTTGATCACTCAAGGGAATCTACACAGTTCACTTTCTCTGAAAATGGGCTAAATGCAATCAGTGACCGGTGAAATTTCTTTTGCTTTTGAGACTCTTCCAATTATAGTTAAGAAGGGAACACAGTTTTGAACTTCACTTGCCTTTCAAAACACTTTTAAAATCAGATCGCTACGTGTCAGTGTGTGAGTCTGGGGCGTGCTGCATAATCTAGAAGCAGATCATCCCCAACGGCAGATAAGCCACGAAGTACCGGCAGACACCGGCAAATCAGGCACCTCTGGAGTGTCTGGGCTTGTTCGGGGCAGGCAGATCCCAGGCCACTGACACCCACCAGATTCAAGGAAGAAAGCAGAAACACTCAAATATCAACACAAAGAAACAAACGAATCGCATCCAAGCTGGTCTCTGGATTTCACGTCATTTCTTCTTACATCTCACTGAACAGAAACAATGAAGTGATTTCCGCCCCGGAGCCTGGGAATGACAGGCAAGAGCCACAGGCTGGGAACCCCAGCCTGAATTGGATGAACTTATTCTGTGGTTGACTTATGCATGTATGAGTTGCACGCCTGAGAACGGGGTAGGGACTTTTGAAATGCAGCCCATGCCCTCCGGCCCTCATGTGTACAGAGCCGCCTCCGCCGAGTGACTCAGGGTAATGACTGATCAACTTTTGTGGGCCTGAGTTGTGCCGGGGATGCCCTGGGAGGCTGTCCCTGCCATGCTGCCTGCCCTGCACCCTCAGGCCCCCGCTCCAGGGCTGCAGCCTCCAGCCTGTCTGGCCTTCCACCAGCAGATGCTGCTCCCAGGCTCTGCCTCCTGCAGTGCACGCCTCTGATTTCGCCTTCCAAGCTCACAAAAGTATGGGCCATGGAAGTGCTGTGTGCAGCCTAAGAGCTGATGGTCTCAGCTGGGCCCAGCGGCCTCTTTGCAGACTTTGTGTCCTTCACCTGGGTCTGGATGAGCAACAGGTCCTGGAACAAAAACTCCAGAAACCGGGGGCTCTTCATTAAAGGCTCCATTTCTTAGTGAACGTTCAATTCGCCAGCAAGTCCTGTCCAGGTCACCCCCAGAGCATCCATTTCTCCACCACCCTGGCCACACTACTTCCCCCAGCTCCTGGCTGGCATCCCCATTGTCCTGCTTTTGCATCTTTGAATATGCAATGTCTTTGAAAGACTCAGTCCCCACCCATCATGGGTAGAATTAGGGCCTTCTACAGAACATCTATTCTTCAGGCAGGCTTTCTGCAACTCCCTGGTCTGTGTCCTGGGCCCTTCCTAACTGTCCTCCCAGCTGGTGGGTGACTTGGAGCTGGTCACCTGCCCCTCTGGGCCTCAGTTTCCTTACTTGTAATAATAGTACCTACCTCACAGGTTGTGAGAGTTGAATGAGCACAGCAGGGACCCAGCCCTATGGAGTTGTCCCTGTCACTGCCCTTGGTAACAGGTAATGTTCACATGGATAACGGGTAACGTTCCATCACCATTTGTTAAGTAAGCTCCAGATGGGTGGAGCCTTCCTTGTAGCATTCTCTGAGGGTACCCAGGGGCCAACATATCCTGGCACATGGCTTTGATTCAATGGCAATCCCTGAACTCCTACGGCCAGTCCTGAGTCATAGGTAGACCCCTCTCCAGAGACACCTTTGCCCAGTGCTCCTGGCAGCTCTGTGCAATCTCAGTTCCTAAAAAGACCCCCCCCTCAGGCCAACCCCCTCCACTATGACCCGAGGGGTGCAAGGCCTGACTGACCAAGGCCAGAGTCCCTGCTGTCACTGGAACAGAGATCCAAAGCCGGAGATTTGTCCCTGCTTTATTCCCCGACTCTCTGTGTGCCCCAGGGACTAGGGGGACAGCCCTGGTCTGTGCCCATCCTGCTGGAAGCCGCAGTGCTGGGCGGGACACCCAGGGAGGGGCCTTGATGGGGCCGCAGGGGAAGGAGGGAGAAAGGAGATTCTGTCCTTAAGTCCCACAAAGTGCTGTTGAGAGCTCCTCTCTCCCCAGGAGGACCAAGCCAGTCCCAGCCCTGTCCTATCCTCTTCCGGCAAACTTTGTCCCTCAAGCCAAACCCTTCCTGGGAAAATTCTGCCCCCCTCCCTAAAATGTAGGGAATCCCTAGACTTCTGGGTCTGGCCCTAGAGAGGGTGGTGGGGATATTGGGGACCTCAGGATGGGGTCCCCAACTTACATGACTGGCTTCCTACCAGTGCCCCCACCTGAACCAGGACTGGACGCCCAGGGGAGACAGGGAGGACGGTAGAAAGCAATCTCCAATGATTGGTATGCCAGTGCCAGTACCAGGCCAAGCCCCCTGGGCACAATGTGCATTTCTGGCAAGTGGGGACCCTGAGCTCTGGCCTGGAGGGTGGTGAAGCAGTGGGGCCTGGCAGCTACCATCATTCTGGAGTGGCGACCAACTTGGCCTTCACGCAAGACCCCCACCATCATCACTGACCCAACGGGCACCCCTGGCAGAGAGCCAGGAAGGGAAGGTCCCATCCAGGGCTCCAGCAGTGAGGTTTTGGTTGGGGTCTGAGCTCCAGCCCTGGGCGAGACGTCTTTGGGGACTCAGAGCTCCAGAGCCAGGCAATGCCTGGGGGCCCGGCATTGCGTTGGGCCGAGTGGGCGCCTCGCTCCAAACGCGCAGAGCGCAGGCTGGGCGCACGCACTCGACCGTGGCCGGCGAGCCCTTCCCGGGACGCACGTGTGCGGGTGGGCGCCGGGAACCCGGCGCAGAGGGTGCGGCCCGCGCCCCGGGGTCCCGGGAGGCCCTGCCGCCGCCGCCGGCTTCCCGCCCTCGCCGCGGCGCAGGTGCGCGGCCCTCCCGCCCGGGTCGCGGCCGCCCGCACTCACCGTGCCCTCGGACGGCAGGTATCCGATGTCCTCGATGGCGCAGATGTTGATGATGTGGACGCTGCGGTCCTCGGCCGGGAGCGTCGAGTACTTCTCGTTGACCCTCATCGTGGCCGCCTGTGCGCGGGGACCGCCGGGCGGCGCGCCCTCCCCATCCACGGCCCCGGCGGCCTCTGCGGGCGGAGACGGCAGCGTTCGCGGCGCGCTCGCAGGGGGGCCGGGCCTCCCCGCGCCCAGGCCCGCCGGGGACGTGGCCGCCTCCCGCTCCGCCCGCCGCCCTTGCCCGCCTGCCCGGCCCGCGCGCTCCGTGCGGGGTGCGCCTGAGCCTCCGGGGCCGATCGCGCCGCCGCCCGGCTGCGGGTCCCGCGCCTGGTCGGGAACTTGGACGCCCGCCGGCCGGCCTTTGCCTTCAAGATATAAGCGCTCTCCGCCCGCCTATGGCAGGGGCGGTGGCCGCGCGGGTCAGATTTTCCGTAGAAATTTAAACACAGGAAGAAAAAAGATTCCATTCCTGCGGGCCCCTCCGAGTTTTATTTTTATCCGGGGAAAGTGCCCCTTTGGATTTTCTTTTTTGAGGGTTTTCATACCAGGTATGAAACGGGAGGACTTTCAATAAAGTCCCCGAGTTGCAGGCGCTTCTGTGGCGGGGCACCTCCGCCTCCGGGGGAGTGAAGCTTCTGAGATTGGAGTCTGGAATGTTCTCCCTGCCCCTTTCCCTCCACCCTGGCAAACTCCTGCTGTCACTCACCGCTCACCTCCTCCAGGGAGCTCGCCTGGTTCCTGCCGGCCCGGCCCCCCCCAACCAGCTGCCCGTGCTCCTGGGGGAGGCTTTCCTGGGGCTGTCGTCTCTCTGGAGCCCACCGATGTTACCGGTGCCCCCACCTCCCATTTACGGAGCGCTTAGTGTTCTGTGCCCAGGCGCGTGCAGCCTCCCTGATGCAGGGCATGGGTGTGTATCATCTCATTTAACCCTGCGCCCGCAAGTTTGGAACGCGGGTCCTCATTTTGCAGAGGACACCCAGGCTTAGGAATGCCAAGGAACGGCCCCCATCCTCTGAGGTAGGGTGGGGCTCCTGCAGAGAGCTGTCCCCACTGTAGGGCAGGGTGTCCTGCTTTCTGGAGGGGGGGACGGTGGCTTTGATCACTCACCCCTGGCCCCAGCAGGGGTCTGGCACACAGCTGATCTTCAAGTTTTCTTCTCCTAAGGAGAGTAAGGCAGGTCCCCAGGGGACAGCCACACTCTGGTTAAGTCCCAGGGGCCATGCTGGCAACCACATCCACTGGAAATAAAGTCTCCCTCTGCCTCTCACAATCCTGTGAGTTCTTCATGGTGTGCATCAGATAGTACCTCTGGCAGGAAGTCCTCCGGGATTCTCCCTGACTGCCCCCTTCCCACCCAAATACATGGACCTTCCTCTCTGCCCAAAGAACCTGCCTGAACCTCAACTAGCACTTCATTTATTCCGCCTCATTTTACAGTGGGTTGTCTACCAGGTTCATACAGCTGATGCTCAATAATTGCTTATTACATGGTCATTTGGGAACATTCAAGGTCTACAGAAGTGATTAGGAAGTTGTCTTTCAAGTCATGAGGTCATCAGCATGCCATGACTCCAAGCGTGGAACCTGGAGTTAGCTAGGATGGGGATGGGGAGAGCGGGTGGGGGCTCGCTCCACTCTGGCACCTTCCAGCACTGTGACCTTGTGCCAGCCTCCTCAGAGCCTCCACCTTCTCATGGGAGTCTTGAGCGTGCCTGAAGCTGCCGGGCTCGGCAATGGCCACCGCTGCCACTTCTACTGCCATCTTGTCATATCTCCCCTTTTCTGGTGTCTCAGTGAGACCCCCCGCCCCCCTTCAGGCACAAGTCTGTGACTTCCCTGAACTTGCGGTGGTGCAGGAAGGCTATTTGGTATTTGGTTCTCAGGCTGGTGGTGCCAACAGGCGCAGAGTGGCCCTAAAGGACCCTTCATCTGCACCTTGGACAGTGAGAGAGGGTTTGGAAGAGGGCCCCAGGCTGGCCAAATCCACACCAGAAACAGTCCTCCATGGCCTCTGCTCCTAAGAGTTCAAGTGTCCAGCGCTGGGAAGAATTCCACACAAACATACAGAGGATTATGTAACTCTGTCTGCTTATCCTTGTTGGTAAACAACCAGCCTTGCGTAACCCTAATGTGCTGTCTTCCCAAATCTACGTTCGAGTGGCAAAGGACCTGCCAGAGCTCCACGAGGTGCAGTTTGCAGAAAAACAAAGAGTAAAATATACTTGACCAAATCTGATACACTGGCATTCCCAAGGGTTTAGGAAGTGACACTTCTGGCCTGAGAGGGCTCTGGGCTTGGGGGCTGCGGGGTGGGGGCCATCTCCTAGGCAGGATGGCCCCACCTTCTCCCCAGACAGCACCCCTTGTGGCTTTACTCAAACAGCGTTGAAGCTCTGGTTTCTGTGATTTATGCTGTAGCCAGGCTCAAGGCATCTGCTTGCCTGTAAAACTCCACTTCCTTGGCTGTTTCCAGTATGTTTCCTTTTTTTCTCTCTAGGATCCCTGCATTCTAATTCCTCTCACCCCTTTCCCAAGTCTTCTGAGGTGGACGGTGTAGACACGCACAGCAAGGGCAGAGGAAATGCAGCGTGGCCTCTGCACAGCAAGGGCCAGAGAGGATCAGCTCTGCCCCCAGGCCTCTCCTGGCCTTCCCCCGGGGTTCATGGGTCTAGGGATTTCAGGGACTGACACAAAGTAAAAGCAATCATCCCTAAAACTGGAACAAGAAAAGAGAATTCCTGTGAGTGGCGACATCTCCCAAGTCAGGACGAGTTTATGGGGTGCCTTTTGTTCCACAGGTGGTCCACTTCTCTAGTTCCCTGCCCCCGTCTGTGTCCTATGGGCCACTTTGCTGGGAATCTCTCTCCCCCTAGTCACTAATCGCTTACACGTGGGGCCACTCCATAAACAGTTGTGTTCATTTTTCTTTTTCTTTTCGTCTCAGTGATTTTCATCACTAAAAACCCACAGGGACAAATTTTTTGGGCAGGACTAATTCCCTGCTCATGAATTAGTACAAACCTGGTCTAATTCGTCCAGATGGTACATTTTGTTATGGGGAGATCTGGGCTTCCCAGCTGGCCTGTGTGGCCCTTCAGTGTCATTTGATGGCATGCGCCAACTCATACAGGTGTCTTTGCTGACATTTAATAGTCACCGGGGGTGTAAGTGGCAAATGACAAGGAGTGGAGGCCAACAAGCTGTCAGGAGGGTGGCCTCCTGGTAAGAGGCTGTGCTGGGGTGCCCTTTCCAACTCGATTTTATTTCCATCCCGTTGGCATCGCCGACAGGGAAGAACATCTCTGAGCACTGGCTGAGCTGTCTGCGACTCCATGGGAAGTTGGGCAAACCGAATTTTACAAAGGGAGGCAGAATGAGGTGCCCCAAATCGTGGAGATGCAGGGACTGGTTGCCAAAACCACAGACTGGAAACCCATTAACCACCCACACAGCCTTGGCATGCCTCGATTTCCTTTTTTGTAAAGTGAGGCATGACATCTCTCCCTTTGGACGGTGGGTGAGGGCCACGGTGAGTCCAGGCCAGGGAGGCAAAGACCTCTTCTTCTTCTTCTTCTTTTTTTTTTTTTTTTTCCTGAGATGGAGTCTCACTCTGTCGCCAGGCTGGAGTGCAGTGGTGCAATCTCGGCTCACTGCAACCTCCACCTTCCAGTTCAAGCGATTCTCCTGCCTCAGCCTCCCAAGTAGCTGGGACTACAGGCCTCTTCTAATACAGGAGCTCTACAGCAGAGGTGTCCGGACTGTGGATGTGTGGAGCCTGATCCTTTTCTGTGGTAAGGGCTGTCCGTGCAATGTACGACATTTTGCAGCCACCCTGGTGACCTCTACCCACCCATGAGATGCCAGCAGCACCTTCTGCCTCTAACCCCAGTGTGACAACCAAAAATGTTTCTTGTTGTTGTAAAATGTCCTCTGGGGACAAAACCAGCCCCAGCTGAACACCACTGCTCTCAGGCTTCTCTGAGGCCCTTACCTGCCTTCTCACCTGGACCTGGGGGCCAGATTCATCAGCCCCCGTTTCACAGGTGCGCACACCCGGAGAGGTGACACACTTGGCTTTCATTCTAGGTCTCCTGACCTCCACCCGCCGAACCAGAGCTTGCTCCACGCATTCAATCCACATCCAGAATTCGGGAGGTGGCACAAAGGAGACTGGGTTTCTTTTTACAAAATGGAAATACCCGGGTGCCCAGGCTGCTCTCCGCTGGTGGAGGTGCTGGTACCCTTACAGCCTGGGTGCACTGAGCCTGCTCTGCCCCTCAGTCGGCCCAGTACAAATCTCTGCATTCGGAGGGTTCTAATAAGTGCTGTTGACTCATGAACAGCCCAGGGGAGGGAAAGCAGCATGGAAGCAGTGAGCAGTCATGACTCAGGGCCATTGTGAGGCCAGCGGCCACCCATCCCGCTCCCACACCAGCCCCACGCTGCTGGGCAACCGGAGTAGGGCAGAAACAGAGGCCAAACAGGTAAATGATGTCACCTCCCAAAAGCAGCTTGGGCTGTAATTACCCCCGGGGAAGATGAGCCTGGGGAATTTACCACCGAGATACGGCGGGCGGGAGACTGGCCACGGTCTTTTCCTTCCCTGGAATGGTGTCAACGCCCAAGCAGAGGCCGGCCAACCGCAGCCTGGGCTCCGAAAGTGCCAGCCAAATCTCTGACACGCGGCCAAAGCATGAAGTTCTGTTGGGGGGGATTTTTTTCCCCCCCAACAGAATCCACGGGCATCCTGTTTCCATAGGAGGGTTTTCAGATTCTTAATGTGTTTTGTGAACACAAGACCTGCCCTCTGAGAATCCCAAGAGCTTTAAAGCACACCCGGGGCAGCTGAGACCCCGGCCAGGCCACCTCCTACTGGAAGCCTTTCCGGTTGAGCTCAGATGGCTGCTCCTCTCTGCTCCTTCCACCCGTGGCTCCAGCCACTCAGGTTCCCTTCTGCCCACCATCTTCCATTTTTCGGGCTTCATTTCTGCACTCTTTACTCTCCTTCCCATCCTTGGCACACTATAGATTTTCCCCGTTTATGTTTATTTAACGAGAAGCCGTGCAGTGCTTACTATGAGCCAGCACTGTGCTAAGCTCTTTACAAATGTTAAGTCGCGTTCTTAGGGTGATTATAGCCATCTGCAAGTGCGTTCACACAGGCGCACACTCCTGGATCCTTTATTGGGAGGTGTGGAGAGAAGTGTAGACAAAATCTTAAACAGCTGCCTCCTCCCCAGTGACTCTGCAGGAGGCACAGCCTTCCTCTCCAGGATGATGGGTGCATTGGCATCAGACACCCTGCCGGGGGGACAGGGGCCATCTCCCAGCAACAGGACAGCACCTGCCCACCCTGACAAAGAGCCTCTAGCTGCCCACCACTGCTTCAGTTCTTCTTTCTGGGGTTTGAAAGAGTAAAAGCTCCAGATTGCTGTCAGTTTCCTTTCGCCAGCTTACTTCCTGAGAACGAGGAACTTCCGCCTCGCAGAAGCGCTGGCCTCAGTCTGAGCTTGTGCCACTCCAGAGGGACGAGGATGACCTTTGCGGCTTCCTCTGAGCCCCTGCCCCCGACTGTATTTTCTCCCCAGACACAGAGCTTCTGATAGTGAAGGACAGGTCCTGGTCCTCCTGGCCTCTAGTCCAAGGGGCTGAAGGTGACTTAAGGCCCCAAGGCAGAGGAGCTGGGACTTGAGTTGGCACCCTTGCACTGTTGAGGGCACATGAACCCCACGAGAGCTGCTCTCTGCAACAGACTCACCCCTGCGCCTTCCACGGGGTGTATGCTGGGTGTGAGCGCACCAAACCTGCATCACTGCCTCGGTGTCAGTGACCCACCCACGCCACCGATTTTCGTATAGACCCGTCTCTAAGGCCTGAGATGGAGCTAACATTACAGTCACAGGCAGCAGCAAGCATCTCACTCTGGAGTGAATCCTCTGGGTCCTCATCAGAACTTCTCTTCCCCAAAGCCAAGGAAGCCACAGCTCCTGGTCTCACCTGTCCCACCAGCTAAAAATGGCCTTTTATACTTTTTTTTTTTTTAATTATTTTCTTGAGATGGAGGCTTATTCTTTTGCCGAGGCTGGAGTGCATTGGCGCAATCTTGGCTCACTGCAACCTCTGCCTCCAGGGTTCAAGCAATTCTCCTGCCCGAACCTCCCAAGTAGCTGGGATTACAGGCACCCACCAAGGCGAATTTTTGTATTATTAGTATAGACAACGTTTCCCCAGGTTGGCCAGGCTGGTCTTGAACTCCTGACCTCAGGTGATCCGCTCGCCTTGGCCTCCCAAAGTGCTGGGATATCAGGGGTGAGCTACCTTGCCTGGCCTTGTTCACTCATTCTTTTCTATCCCTACCTCCTCTAACCCCTTCCCGACTTCGTATTTCTCTGTGGAGTCTGCTAATCCCTGTCTGTGGAGGAAGTAGCTTCATCATCTTGTTTTCCCGTCCGCCTCCCCTCACCCTCCTTGGCTAGAATGGCGGCTCCAGGCGATTTTGTCATGATTTGATGGCTCATTTTCATGCCTGAAAATGACGTGAGCCACAGGGACCTACAAGAATGCGCAGAATTGAGCCAGTTATTCAACAGAGTCGGGCCCCAAGGCGCGCTGACTCTTAAAACATAAGAAGGGTCTTCTGTAAGATCTTGCAAAAACAAAAACAAGACAAGTGAAACAAACAAACGAAAAAGACGTAAGGAGGGGAGGAGGGGAGAGCGTGAGACACACGCCTCGGAGACACACGCCTCGGAGACAGACGGCCGCCGCCTGTCTTTGCAGAATGCATTAATGGCCAACAGCGAATTAACTCGGTCATTTCAATCCCTTTGCTTATGTAGACAAAACCCAAAGGTCCGTGTCCTACAGAGAATGCGCACTTGCACGCATTCACACACGCCAACTCATCCCAAAGGGTTAAAAATGGACCCGACGGGGACCTCCTCCCCAAAGGCACACATAATCAGTGGTTCCCTTGTCCATCTAAAAGCCCTTCCTGAATACAGACATCTAAGATCTGTAAGCTCATCACAGCCCACATCCTCCGAGACACGTGGTTCCATAGAGCCCAGGGGCCCCACGGCTGTCTGCCCTGCCTCTCACACAGACCATCGTTTTCCAAAAGCTATTCCTGAGACTCAGCATCCCAGCCTTTTAAACATGAACAATGACGGCTGGAATCAGGTTTTCTGGAAAAATCAGGTGCCCCTGTCCGCCCTTAAGCTCACCACAGCCCAGATCCTCAGGTCACACAGATCTCAGCTCTTTGTATGCTCGGCTTAAGCACCTCGAGATGTTCCTGGCCATCCGCTCCCCCACTCCTGTTTCCTTCTGGTTTGACGGAGAAGCCTTTCCTCCAGCCTCAGGGGGACCCTTTCAAAGCCACAGGTTCCTTCTGGATCTCTCTGCAGAATGCACTCCCCGGGTTCCTTCAAGCCACATTTCAGAAGAGAAAGCCGACCCTCTCCTTGGTTAGGGAGGACGCTGGGGCTCCCAATTCTTTCCAAAAGGAAAACAGGGTAAAAGAAAAGAACTCTCAGCTCATGCTCGTCTGTGAGTGGATTCAATGTCCTGTTCGATAAAGCGGGGGGGGGGGGCTGTGAAGGGGAACATTCTGCCACCTAGGGGGTCCTGAGGCAGGAAGCCTGGCCTTCATAGATGCACCTAAGAAAAGACACGGGCCCGGCCCCCCACCCCCAGGCCCTCGGAGCTGGATGAGTCTACAGCAGCCGGTGACATTGGGGACCAGCTTGCGGAGAGCATGGTGACACCCTTCCTTCCCTACTGCTGCCTGTCATGGTCTTGTTTACCTTGGGGACCAAAGAAAGAGGGACTGTTTTTCCTTAAATGACCAAAGGGACACCCCTTACCCGCCTTCCACTTCAGAACAGCTGGAGGAGTGGGCTGGGGAAAGAGTCGGGGGTGTGCCAGGGAGAGAGCCCCTTATCAGGGAGCAGACAGGCCAACGCCCTCCTCCCGGGAGTTCACTGTATTCTCTTTGGCTGGACTTCAGTTCCCTGGGTGCTGTGACCCTCCCTCCTGCCCTGCTCTCACATCTCCGAGGCTTCTGCTAAGAAACCACCTTTCCAGGGTCTTCCCTGGCCCTGCTCCCAGCCCCTTCCTCTGCTTCCCCACATCTGTTATCTGACAGCATATTCTCCCTGCACCAGGAAAGCAGAGACCTTTGCTTTTGCTCTCTGTATTCTCAGGACCTAGCAAGCCTGGCACACAGTAGGCATGCAAAATGTCTTTTGGAAGGATGAGCCCCTGCGTGAATGGACACCATGTCCTTCATCCATGTCCACAGATTCTAGCACCGCCTAGCAGAGCACAATAGAGTTTATCCACGGGTCAATGTCTTCGCGCTCAAACAACCCCCGCGTGGATAATCGCTTCTTAACAGGAGGCTGTGGAATCTTCACAAACAGGTTCTCCCCAGGGGCAAGGATGGAGTTGCTGTCTTAACATTTTCCAGCTGGCGGGGCTGCCGGGGAACACTGCTGAGGCCACTGCCACCCATCACAAAAGTCCCATTGAGAGCTGGGCCTTCTCCAACACGAGTGTTCTGTCCGGAGTACAAGGTGGGCTGGACCTTTCTGGCAGGAGCATGCCCCCTTCACAGGGGCAATCAGTGTATTCATGAAGGTCCTACTACGTGTTGAGCTGTGAGTCCAGGGCACAGACCCACAGGTGTGGGGCTGACAGTCGTCCAGGAAGTCAGAAAAATGACAGCCACAGAAAAGTGTGGAAGGACCAGGGAAGGAAAGGTCACGGCCAGTGCCGGAAGGATTTGCAGAGGGAGTGGCTTCTCAGCTGAACCCAAAAAGGTCGCTGGGAACTAGGAAGATGAAGAGGAGGGGTCGAGCGCCCCAAGCCAGGGTTGGGGGTGGGGACGCCAAGGGACAGGAAGGCTGGGAAGGGCCTCGGGGCTGCCGGTGCCTCCACCGGGTGCCTGCGAGCACCTCCTCCAGGGTGCCAGGCACTGGGCAAGAAGCAGCCAGCAAAGCAGGCCTGACTCCTTGTCCTCTTGGAGTTGCCAACCAGCGAGGGGCAGGCAGACCATCAACAAAACAAGCGGGTGACATGGCACGTGGGTGCTCGGAGGCGGTTAGGTCCCACAGGGCAGATGGGTTCGATGTGGCTGGAAGGTGGGGACAGCAGTTTGTCGTGGTGGCCAGTACAGAGCTTGTTCTGTGAGGGGCCCTTCACTGCTCGGCTACATGCGACTACTCAGTGTAAGGAAACTTTGGGAAGACTCAGACAACCAGCCTCCATTTTTATGCAAATAAAAGGATTTTTGGTCACATGAGTTAGGAAAACAGCAGTGCCCATCATGACCCCTGGACCCCGGACAAAGTGCCTCTCCATTGGGGGGGTTGCTTTTTCAAGTTTGTTTTTGGCCCCTTTGCACGGGCCTGGGAGTGGCGACAGGCACTGCCTCGGCTGGACTCAGCATCCATGAGTCCAGCCAGCAGCATCTGGGCCGGGCAGAGTGTCCCTCCCAGGGCTCACTGGTCTGTGACTGTAGTCAGGTTGCACCAGGGCCGACTCCGGGGTGCTTTGCTCCACCGTGGAGTTAGAGCGATGGGTTAGCTGCATCCCTGTCGTTGAAGGGGATCTAATCTCCACTGGAGACCAGGTGTCTCTCCTGTGCCATCATTCAGGGAGGCCAAAGTCAGGGCTGCCACCCACCCCCAACCAAGTCACCAAGGAGAGGAGGACCCCATGTACCCTTGACACATAGAAAGCGCTCGGCAAATGTCTCTGGAGGGAATTGTCCCAGGAGACTGTTGGGCATGGCTGGTTCATCCATCAGAATGGAACTTTCTAGACACTGATGAGGGGTGCCAGGCACAGGCCTCTTCCCTCCCCGTCCCTGTAGCCCTGCAGGGTATCTTTGGACCAGTCACGTGGGCTCTGGGGCCCCCGTTTCCAACTCAGTCCTAATAAGAAGACAAGCTGTCGGGATGTTGAGAGTGGGCCCAAAACACCGAGCATGGGGTCCCTTGGGAATGCAAGCTCAGGGCCAGGGACCTCGGTGCCCACGAGGGCAGCTTGGTGTCTGGCCCTCTGCTCAAAACACCCAGCATGGGGTCCCTTGGGAATGCAAGCTCAGGGCCAGGGACCTCGGTGCCCACGAGGGCAGCTTGGTGTCTGGCCCTCTGCTCAAAACACCCGGCATGGGGTCCCTTGGGAATGCAAGCTCAGGGCCAGGGACCTCGGTGCCCAGGAGGGCAGCTTGGTGTCTGGTCCTCTGCTCATAACCGCTGTTTATTATCACAGTGGTCACAGATTCACCCATCTGCTCCAGTGACCTCCGAGCCTGTCACTCATTCATTCACACAACGGGCATTCATTCATTCATTCATTCACTCATTCGTTCAGCAAACTCTTCTATGTCCCAGACAGAGCTGGGGCTGGGTCATGGGAGAAACAGTGCAAACAGGTCCCTGCTCCACTCCCGTGGAGCTTACCTTCCAGCGGGACCAGCAAAACCGGAAGCCGGAAAGGCGAGCAGATGCACACTTGGCAATATTAGATGGTGGGGACTGCTACGGAGGCTGGAAGAGGAAGGGGGACGGCGGGCTAGCGAATGTGAGGGACAGCATGTGGGTGGCCATGGAAAGCCCTTCTGGGGAAGTGACTTCTGAGCAGATGTCTTCTTCCCGGGAGCCAGCCCTGAGAAAATCTGGGGTAGAACATGACAAGCAGTGGCACAGCCAGGTGAAGGCCGTGAGGCTGGGAAGAGTTGTGTTCTGGGGCAAGTGCTGAGGTCAGCCAGGCTGGGGCACCCTCCCCTGGAGGGTGATGGTGGGGGGCAAGGGCAGAGAGGAAGTGGGGAGGGTCAGGCCTGTAGGGCTTTCAGGTCAGGAAGGAACTGGGATCTTCTGCTGGGCAGAGGATCTGGAAAGGCAGCCCCCACAGGGGACCGATGCCATCTGAGCTGTGAGATCACGATGGTCCCTGGGCTGCCCCTGCGTTCCGCGAGCTGGGGGTAGGGCCCAGGAACCACATTTTAGCCAGGGCCCCCAGGTATCTGGTCTGGCACAGCCCTGACAATATGCAAACCTCCTCTGGTGATGGCTGAATCCAGGAGACCCCTACCCCTAGGATGGAAACCTCGCCACCTCTGGAGGCAGCCGATGACTCTTGGGGTAGCCCCACCCTGCCCAAAGGTAATGTGCTTCACAGAGCCAGCCCCAGCCCTAGACTTGGAGCCACACAGGATTGCTCCTTTTCACAAGGAAAAAAAAAAAAATCAGAGCTACAGAGTCAGCGGTCTTAGAAAGCTCCCTGCATTCTCGCCTTGCCCAGCCAAGCAGCCTCAGTTTCCCCGATCCCTGCACCTGGCTGGGCTCCAAGTCACACTCAACCACATATTTTTAAAGTCCTTTGTCCCAGACTATGAATGACACGCAAACTGATTGAGGACTGGGGGTGGCAGCTTGTGTGTGTGACTGCTTGGGCTCTGGAGGGTCCTTCTAAGGTCAGCTCCCCACCCCCACCCTTTTCCCGTAATGGCCCCAAAGGTCTGTAACGCAGCCCTAGGCTTTAAATCTGCCAGCGAGACTCAGAGAGCAAATAGCCCAAGAAAAGACAGACTATGGATCCAATTCATAGGAAAGTATGAATGACTTTCTTCTCCCAGGTAACTCTGACAGTGAGCAGGGCGATCAGCATCAGGCCCACAGACAGCGAGGGAGGGAAGGAGTGAGTGGAGGAAGAGAAGAACCTCCATGGCAAGGGGAAAGGGAAGAGGGAAGAGGCGTGGGGGGAGGGGGACAAGGAAAACCTTTATTTCCTGCTCCTCTGGCCCGGAATGAGCCAGCTCCTCCCTACCCACTGCCCCCAACAGGGAGGTCAGCACGCTAGGGAGGGGCCAGCGTGTGTCTGATCCCGGAGGCAATATTAAAGTTGCCCTCAGTCCAGGGTGTCCATCTGAAGCACTGGGGCAAAAACAGAACTGAGAACAAAGAGAACCAGGTTGAGACCACGGAGGCACACAGGGACGTTTCTCAGCTGCACGTCTGCCCTTTGGAGACTCCTCCCTGCCTGCCTGTGTTGCTGGGGTCCTAGACCCCCACCGGGAGGGCGAGGGGGAGTGAAGGAGAGACCTGGGGCTGTTCCCGGAGAATGTGCTCGAGAGCCAGGGGCTGGCGGAGAGGCCAGTGGCTTCCAGATGGCCCTGCCCCTGCAGGCCAGGGCTGCAACCGCTGAGCATGATAAAGGGAGCCTGAGGGGACCAGGGTGAGCTCCGCCTGATGTTCCATGAGCTTCCTCCCCTCCCTCACATCAATCCCCCAGGGCAGCGAGAGAGGGCAGCTGTGCCCAGCCACAGAAACAGCCTCTGTGCCTTGGGAAAAAATGATGTTGGCGGGTTGTACCTCATTCACACTCATGAATCTACTCCAGAAGTCTGAAGACATTTTTCCCCAGGTACAGAAGAAAGAGGAACCAAAGAAAATAAGGGAAGGGCAGGAAAAAGAAGAAAAAGAAAAAGAAAAGTGAGAACAAGGGAAAGAGAGAGCAAGATCCAGAGGCAGGGAAGACGCGTCTGAGGTGGGGGCGGGCCTGTGCTCTGTGGGTCTGAGGCACGTTCCTTCATGTCACGTGTTGGTGCTGGTGGTGACCTGATTTTGACTCATCCAAGAAAATGATCAAAAGAGGGAAACAAAGACTAGATAGGACCAGGTCTTATTTCTCCAGAGCAAAGGGGGTTCTGAAGAGCTGGGTTCACGGGATTTGGAGTCACCATCTTCGGAGGATTGCAGGGGTCCTCTTAGGAGCTTGGCATTTTCTCTAACACGTGTAATGAGGCACCAAGAAAGTCATGGGTGAGGTACTTAGGGACCGCGTGGCCTCCTGGCAAAGGGCAATGTGGTAAGGCAGGCATTCACATTAATTTAAGCTCATCTCCAGAGAGGCAAAAATCGCTCAGCTAACATGCATGCTCCTGCTGGGAGGTCACTGGTTCCCACCCCACTGTGAGGGGATTGGGATGTTTCTGATGAGATGACAGGTCTGTTCCCGAGGAGCTGGAATTCTCCCTCATCTTGCCCCTCTCTACCACTATCCCATTCTTTTCCCCCTTCCCTGCCTTCATTCATTCAACAAACATAGTAGACACATTCTGGTCGGTGGCGATTTCCTGCCCCAGGAAGTCCAGTGTCTCGTCCAGTCATTACAGAGTCTTAGTTAGGTAGTCGCTGCCTCACCCACGGAGCTACCAAATATCCAGGTCCTAGGACTTCACACTCAGAGACAACGTTCAACAGTCCCTCGTGGGTTCAGAGGACCGGTAGGTTTGGCCCCCCCCCCCCCCCCCATGGAGGACAGACGTGAATGTAGGTGACCGCGATGCCAGAAGCCCCTTTCTGAGACAGGCAGGAAAATGCAGGGCAGGAGACGCTGGGCCAAGTTCCAAAGGGAAAGCAGCTCCCGAGCCCTCCCCAGCTCACCCCAGCATGTTCCATTCAGAATACTCAGCCCCCGAGCACAGGAGTTCTCAGTCCTTCTGCTTCGTCTGTGTCTACTGGGGGACCCTCCCACAGCAAATGGTTATTGTCCTAAATGTGCCCCTATATTTGGAGTCCATTGCATTTTTATCATTTAAATAATCAGTGAAGCAGTGACTATCTAGATGAGCACTCTGTACCTTTTTTACCTCCAGGCCAGGCGCGGTGGCTCAAGCCTGTAATCCCAGCACTTTGGGAGGCCGAGGCGGGTGGATCACGAGGTCAAGAGATCGAGACCATCCTGGTCAACATGGTGAAACCCCGTCTCTAGCTGGGTGTGGAGGCGTGCATCTGTAAGTCCAGCTATTTGGGAGGCTGAGACAGGAGAATCACTTGAACCTGGGAAGTGGAGGTTTCAATGAGCCAAGATCGCACCACTGCACTCTAGCCTGGGCAAAAAGAGTGAAATTCCGTTTAAAAAAAAAGAAAAGAAAAGAAAAAGAAAAAACATGACTCCTCTATTTCTAAAGCACCATTGGTTGCGTTCCATATTGCTCATCCTCACACTAAGTCTGTGAAATACATGGCCTTTGTAATATTGGACCCATTTTGCAGATGAGGAAACTGAGGCCCTGACAATTCTTGTGGTTTACTCAAGATCTTGCAGTTGGAAGCAACAGAGGTAGAGAACCCTCCCCTAATTGCCTGACCCTAAGAGCAGACTTTTCCTCTGTTGTTGCTCTGAAGCTCTAGCTGCCACAAACACACCATCTAAGGCATAAGGTGCTCCCGCAGGCGACTGTTAAGAAGCCTCATCGAGAACTCTGCTTCTGGCCACAGAACAGTAGCTGCTGTGTCAAGAGCATCTGTAAAGGTTGGATTAAAAAACAAGCAGAGAAACTCAGCTGCTAGAAGTAGCTGCTAGAAGGGATTGGAAGACACCGAGGCAGGTGGAACTTGAGGGCTAAGGGCAGAGAGCTGCAGAGAAAGAAGCTCAACATTCTTGGCCAGGGTGAGGAGAGAGAGAGAGAGAGAGAGAGAGAGAGAGAGAGAGAGAGAGAGAGAGAGAGAGAGAGAGAGAGAGAGAAAAGGGAGGATTGGAGTTCAGGGCCCTCTAAAGAGGTAGGGACTTAGTGAACTCTCCAGGCTTTCAATTAGGAACCCAGAAAAAGACCTGCCTTCTATAAATCCTTAAGTCTAATCTCAACTCATCTTCAACCCTGATAGAAACCAGCCGGTCTTTTCACATTCTGCCTGCTGAAAAGACAAGAATCCTCTCAGAAAAAGAGAACATCATCTGGAGTCTCCACATTTTCCACACGTGATATCCAAGATTCAGTTAAAAATCACCACACAGGCCAGGAAGCAGAGCTAGATAATTAAGAACCACAGAAACAAAACAACGTGAAAGAAGCAAACAAAAACCCAAGCGCAATAGAAACAGACCAACAGCAGGTCCAGAGATCGGGGCAATGAGACACATCCATGCATAGGATGAACACGGTGAACGCAAAGATGGAGAGTCTCGGTGGAGAATGAGAATGTGCAGGTAGAATCCAACGGGAATTCTAAACCCAAAAGTGAGAATTCAAAACATAGGCATAACCACAGCTTAGACTGAATGGAAGACATCAGATAAACTGAAAGATGGGTTAACAGAAAGCATTAAAATGGAAGCACAGGAGAAAAAAAAAAAAAGACAGAAAACAGAAAAGACCCTGAGAGACACATAAGTCTTGGTGAACATATGTGCAGTTGGAACTCTGAAAAAACGGGAGGGAGAGAATGGGCAGGAGCAATATTTGAAGTGTCCGACCAAGAATTTTCCAAAACTGATGAAAGACATCAGGCCATGTTTAGTTAAGAATATGAGAAGCTCTATGAACCTCGAGCAGGGTGTAATGTCAGTTTTATTTTTTTTCCTTTTCAGGGCATAGCTTTTAATTTATTTTTCTTGCCTTATTTTTTTCCTAGGACATCCAGCACAGTGTTGAAAAGTATGGCCCAGACCCTATCAGAGTAATCCAAGCCCATCATAGCAAAATTGGTGAAAATAAAAAACAAGGAAAAAATGGCAAAACAGCCAGAGAAAAAGACATCTACTTTCAAAAGATGACTAGTTCAACAGAAGCCACAGAAACCAAAGACAATAGAGTGACATATTGAAATTGCTGAAAGATTACTGCCAATATAGGGTTCTATATCTAGAAAAAATATCTTTCGAAGATAAAAATGAAATAAAAAAGAACTTTGGAAAGAAAAATATATATGCGAGTAAACCTAAATGTATGTTGATTGTTTAAAATAGCAACAGCAACGTCTCGTGGGGATTAAATGTAAGTAGCATTAATATATGACAAAAATAACACAAAAGGTGGGTTGGGGGGGAGTGAAATGGAGTTAAAAGCATTTTTGAAACCTTAAGTTAAGGTTTTCACATTGTACAAAGGTGGTATGAATATCGTTTTAAAAAAGACTCTAAAAAGCCAAGGATGCATGTGGTAATTTCTACCACTAGAAAAATAATAAAGAAGTGTATAACTAACCGAATAATAGAAGATAAATGGCAATTTAAAAAAGAATTGATTAATCAAAAAGCAGGAGGTAAAAATGTCCAAAAACAAGGACAGCTATAAAACTTATAGTAATATAGTGGATGTAATTCCAGACATGTATCAGAAATTATAATAAATATAAATGGCCTAAATATTCCAATTAAATGACAATTATCAGACTGGATTTTTTGAAACTTCAACTATATACTATTTATAGAAGACACACTTTAATATAAAGAACCAGAATGATTAAAAGTCAAAGGGTGGAAAAGATATTATTATGCCATGAAAACACTTGAAAGAAACTTGGTGCAGGTATAGAAATATCAAATAAATATATTTCAAAATAAGAAGTTTTACCAGAGATAAGAGATGCCTTATAATGGTACATTTATTAAACAGAAAGGTCTAACAATTTTAAATTATGTATATGTCAAAATACATAAACCAAAAGGCTGACAGAACTAAAATAAGGAATAAACCATTAATTCTAATTGAATATTTTAACTTAAAATGTAATACAACTCTTTGAGGAAGTGGTAGAATTACACACACACCCAATCAACAAAAATTACTAAATATACATATTTTTTAAGTGTACATAAAATCATTTACCACAATGACTCATGTTGCGCCACGAGCCAGCCTCGACACAGTTCAAAGGACAGAAATCTTGTCCCCTGATGACAACAGATGCAAGCAAAGACCGATAATAAAAGGACAACCATAAAAAAACAACGTGGCCGGGCGCAGTGGCTTAAGCCTGTAATCCCAGCACTTTGGGAGGCCGAGGTGGGTGGATCACGAGGTCAAGAGATCGAGACCATCCTGGTCAACATGGTGAAACCCCGTCTCTACTAAAGATACAAAAAATTAGCTGGGCGTGGTGGCGCGTGCCTGTAATCCCAGCTACTCAGGAGGCTGAGGCAGGAGAATTGCCTGAACCCAGGAGGCGGAGGTTGCGGTGAGCTGAGATCGCGCCATTGCACTCCAGCCTGGGTAACAAGAGTGAAACTCCGTCTCAAAAAAAAAAACAAAAAAAAACCTCAACGTTTGGAGATTAAGTGATACTCTTCTAAATTACCTACAGCACGAAGATTAAATATCAGTGAAAATTCAGGAACAGTTTGAACTGGATGGCATGAAAATATGATATTCCATATCATATTATGGTATCATCATGTGTAGCTAATCTGTGTTTGAAAATGATTGTACAGCCCTAAATGCATTTGAGCCCAGAAAGAAGGCTGAAAATTAATGATCTAAATTTATGACTCAGGACGCTGAGAAAGGACGGTATATTAAACCCAAAGTAGAAGGATGCAGCTTATAAAGAACAGAAATCAACAATTTAGAAATCAAATTTATAATGGAGAAATGAACAAAACTAAAAGTTGCTTATTTAAAAGACTAATAAAATTGATAAAACTTAATCAAGACTCAGGCCTGGTCCTCACAGGAGTGGAGACCACATGCTACATGTCTAAACAGTTAAGTTATAAATCAAGCTAACAGACTATTGAATGAAATATGTTCTCTTTCTACTAGGATGAATATACCTTCCTACAACACAGGAGGCTAGGCTCACATTTAGGAGTCTCAGATTCCTTGGAGATGTGTGCCATCAGGTGAGGTGGTGGGAAGATGGTGCCTGCCACCCGCTTTCGCCACCGTGGCACCATCCTGCCCTGTGAGGAGCCTGTACCTCCAATGTCTGACCACAGCCCCACAGCATCTGCCCCTTAGCTATCTGCTTGGCCTACTCTATCTTCCTATGGCTTGCCTTTGAAAGGACAAACCCAGTGGGGAGGACTTGAAGGCTCTGGGAGCAGGCTGGGGGCCATTAGTGAGGGACATTTGGGGTGTGAATATCTAGGCATGGTCTTGGAAAGGGTGTGTGGGCCCTGGGTGTGCAGTTTCCTTAGCCCTATGGACTTGACACCTGTGGTGAGGGGTGAGGAGGGGGAGGACCAGAGCAGAGCTTCTGCAGCTCAGGGTCCTGAGTAGGGGCTCCTGTTGCCTGGGCCTGAGGGCCATACTGGAGACAGGGTACAAAATAGAGCAGACAGACAGAAATGATGGATACCAGGAACCAGAAAGCAGATATTACAATAGTTTCTACACACGGGAAGAAGATAATGTGAGTACATCATTAATAGCTATTCAATTACCTTGGAGAATCTAGATGTAATGGACCATTTTCCAGAAAAGCATCACTTCCCAACGCTTGCGTAAGAAGAGGTAAGCAATCACCATATCTTATATCTAAAAAGAAATTTGATTCTGACTAAAATTCTTTTCACAGAGAGAACTCTGGGTACATATCGCTCCACTGGTAAAATTTTCTAAACATTTCAGGAAGAAATAACACCGTCTTCCACAAACTCTTCCAAGAATAAATAGAGACCATTTCCTAACGAATTTGAACCTGAAAAGGATATTACAAGATGAGACAATATCCCTTAAAAATCCTAAACAAAAGTACCCCAAACCAATGCTATTAATAAAATATTATGACCAAACTGAACTTATTTCAGGGATGTAAGGTTGGTTTAATACTCAAAAATTAACAAAATAAGGAAAAAAAAATGATCATCTCGAGAGGTGCTACAAAAAGCATTTGGTAAAATGTAACACCTGCTTATGATAAGAACTCTTAGCAAATTAAAGAGAAATGACTAAACCTATAATAAATATCATGTTAAATAGCAAGCTATGGAAAGCTGTACTCTAATGCTGCAGCTGAAACACACATGTCATCTCCACTGCTATTCAATATCGTAGGGGATACTCTAGGAATGTAACAAGGCGAGAAAAAGAAATAGAAAGTTATGGATATAAAGGAAAAAAATTAAACTGACATTATCCCAAAAAAGCCTGATTTCGAAAGGAGAAAATCCAGATGAACTATTGGAATTAAAAAGTAAATTTGGCAAAGCCACAGAATAGGAGATGAACATTCAAAAGTCAATCATTCTTCTGTATACCAGAAATAAGCTCCTAAAAACTCAAGCCTTTCTAAACAACATTTTAAAAATTAAATGCATATGATCAAACAAAAAAATGCATGACCTCAATAAAGAAGAATCACCAAATATGACTAAGAGAGATGAAAGAAAACCAGAATGAATGGCAGGGCAGTCTATGTTCATGGACTGGAAGACTCAATATGGTATAACCATCAGTGCTCCCCAGATTTGATCTTGACCTATAGATTCAATGTGATCACAATCAAAATGTCAGAAAGCATGTGTGTGTGTGCATGCGTGTGTGTAAAAGAGAGACTGACAAGCTGATCCTGAAAAGTATACGGAAATGCAGAAGGCCAGTAAGAGTCAGGAAACCCTCAAGGGAAAAGTGAGAGGATGTGTGCTATGTGATATTCATATCGACCAACGATAGTTATCACAGTGTAGTATTAGTGCAAGGATACACGGATCAAAGCAGAGATTCTAGAAACTGACCTGCATATATTCCGCAATTGGATTTACTACAAAGGTGCCGCTGTAGTGCGGTGGCGGAAAGGACTGTGTTTTCAATAAATAGTGTCGTCAATAAGCGGTGTGTAATCAGTAAGTGGCGTGGAATCAATAAACGGTGTGGAGAGTCACAGGGAGGAAGCTGGACACTGACCACCTACCTCAGGTCGTACACAAAGCCAATTCCGGATGCAAAAAGGCCAACCATAAAGCTTCTAGAAGATACCACAGGAGACTACCTTCACGGCCTTAGGGTGCACAAACATCTCTTAAACAGAACACAGCCATCAGTGACCACAAAGGAAAAGACTGATAAATCTTCAATAAAATTAGAAACTTCTGTTGATCAAAATATAACATTAAGTAAGTGAAAAGGTAAGTCATAGAGTGGGAGAGGATATTTGAAATTCATACAAATCTCAAAGAACTTGTCTCCAAGATATGCAAGCCACTCTTACAAAGCAACAGAAAAAGAACCCAATTTTGAAGATTCTCCTATGAGCTCTTCCTCAAAAGAGGCTCTTCAACTGACCCATATACATATGACGTGGTGACCACCAGCATTTAGCCCGCAAAAAGACACAATGTAAAACCACAATGAGATACCACAGCACACACCCCAGAATGGGTTATAGTAAAACAAAAGCAGACCCCAAACCAAACCCTGACCACGCCAGGTGTCAGGGAAGATCTGGACGTCTCCCGCGCCTGCCGACGTAAGTTTTGATTGGTACAACCACTTTGGAAAACGTGGCAGCAGCTCCTGAGGGAAGCATAAGTCTGTCTCACGACCCCGAAATTTCACTCTTACATAGGAGTCCAAACTGGAAACAACCCAAATGCCCATCAACAGGAAAACCCTGGTGTGTTGATGAGAGCAACAAGAATGAAGGACTGGTGCGAATAACCATGTTGAAGAATCTAACCTAGGAGTTTAGAGAAGAAGCTCCATTCCACTGAATTCAAAAACAGGCAAGTGGAATCCACAGTGACGGGTGGAGGATAATGACCGGGGGTGGGTGGGTGTCATGAAGGGGGGCTTCGGGGGAACTGGTAATGCTCTTTAGCTTGATCTGGAGGGTAACCATCAGACACATTCAAGTGGTAAAAACGCATCAAACTGTAAAATTATGATCTGTACACTTCTATGAATG